CCCCCAGGTAGGACCCCACTACAACCCCAGAGAGAGCCCCCTTCCCTGTCATTGCCTCCACCACCAGGTAGAGCCCCATACAACTCCAGAGAGAGCCCCGTTCCCTGTCATTGCCCCCGCCACCGGGCAGGGTCCCGTACTGCCCTGGGAGAGCCCAGCTCTCTGGCATCGTTCCCCCAGGAAGGGTCCCATACAGCCCAGGGAGAGCCCGGCATAGCCGCCCTTTGCCCCATTCCCAGGCTGGGTCCCATACAACCCAGGGAGAGCCCGGATATCAGCATCATTCCCCTGAGCATGGTACCATACAGCCTGGGGAGAGCTCTATTGCCTAGTCCCCATCCCCCAGACAGAGTCCGGGGAGAGCTAAGCTCTTCGACAGTGTCCCCCTTGGCAGAGTCCCATACAGCCCAGAGAGAGCCCGGCTCTCTGGAATAGCCACCCCCCAAACTCCTCCGAGCAGGGTCCGGACAGGCCAGGGGAGAGCTCACCTCTTCGACAACACTCCCCACAGCAGCCCAGCTCTCAAGCAGACATACACGCCCCACAGGGCAGGGTCTCAGAGAGCCCCAGGGAGAGCTTGGTCCCAGCATCCTGCCCAGCCAAACTTCTTCTTGTGAATGATGAGCAAACCTGTACCCACTTTAATTTGATTAATAACACCAGGAAATCGAATGCAACCACAAATCAGTGTTATCAACACACTTAGCCCACCCTGCATCTATTACTCCTGGGGGAATTCTGCGCCACTGTGCATGTGCAGAATTGATGTCCCTCGCAGATTTCTTTGCTTCCCCGCAGAAAAGTGACTTTTTGACAGGGAAGCAAAGGGAAGCCACAAGAGCGGTCATGCGACCCTCCCCAGCAGTATGTTTTGGGTGCCCAGGGCAGCGGGCAGAGCGGTAAATCACTGTGGGGCAGGAGGTGGGACTGGGGAAGACCTGGAGGGTGGCTCCTACTCTGTGCTGGGCTCAGCTGCTAGTCCCAGCTGGGCTGGGGAGCATGGGACTTCCTCTTCCCTTGCACGGCATCTGGGACCGGGTCAGACACACCTCAGATATCTCCCCCAGCTACGGGAAGCTCTGCAAACTCTTTCTCACCCCCCGACACACTTCCTGCAACCATCGCTCCTCAGCTGCAGGGGGAAAGATCTCAGTACAGGGAGCTGCTCCCCCGTCTGCCCAACCCTCATACATCCAGACTCCCTCATACCCAGACTCTCCTGCTGAGCCTCACTACCCCACACACTCAGAACCCCCGCTCGATGAGCCCCACTGGACCTGGACTACCCCAACGAGCCACCCACACATGGATCACCACCCCGCCGAGCCCCAGCCAGCTGCACCTGGATCTCCCCTCCCACTACGCCCTGCTCCCCCAGCATCTGGACCCCTGACTGAGCCCCCCACACCCAGGCCCATCCTGCTGAGCCCCAAGCACCTTCATCTGGACCCCGCTGCAGAGTACCATTATCATTGCACCCAGAACCCCCCAACAAGCCCCTGTGTATCCGGATCCCCCACTGAGCCGCCCGCACCCAGATTGCCCGACACAGAACCATCTCAACCCACACCTGTATCCCTGCATACGAAGCCCCTTCACACTTGGATCTTGCCGGGCTGAGCCTGCCTATCCACACCTGGTGCATCTGGCACAGAGGGGCAGGGCCTTTGGGTGTTTCTGGGGCAGGCCCAGTCCTTGCGTTATGTCAGAGTTGGGTGCTGCCTCACTGCTGAGTCTGTGTCCCGGGAGGGAGCAGCACAGTGATCTCCCACCTCTTTGCAGCTAGTGGCCTGTGCTCCCCAATGCCATGCTGGAACCTTCACATTTATTTGACAAATACAATTTGCAGAATTTTGCAAAATTTTAAAATATTGTGTGCAGAATTTTTATTATTTTGGTGCAAAATTTTTAATTTTTTGGCGCCAAATGCCTTCAGGACTAAATCTATACACACACTGCAGCCCAGTTCTGCAGGCCATCCACACTCACCCCGGCCTAGCTAAGCAGTCATCTCTGCACAGAACATAAGATACACACACACACACAACCCAGACCAGCCCTGCAGACCTTCTGTACACACACATATGCAGTCCTGCAGTGTATCTACAAACATGCAGAGTCCTGCAGGATACGTATATACACACAAATGAATAGAGCCCATCCTGATGCAGTATCTACACATAGCCAGCAAAGCATCTACCTGCAGAGTACATATTAAATGTAAACAGCCTAATGCAGAATCTAAACACACGCAATCCAGCCTAGCACAATATACACAAATACATATACACCCAGCAGGGCATCTGGTCAGCCCAGCATAGTATCTATGCATACACACACAACATATAGCAAACTGACTATAAATAGTCCAGCCCAGAATCTATACACACTCCCCAGCACAGCATGGTAGGACAGCCCAGCTCACTATCTGCAAACGTAGCACAGCCTGCTGCCTTGATACTTAGGTCATTCAAACTCAAATATTGATTATCCAGGGCTGACTTTATGCAAGGCTCAAAAAAGGTGTTTTTCAGGTTTGGGCACTACTCTCTGAGAATGCACTGCTCATATTGCAAACAGTTCAGGGGAATTCCACAAATAGCTAGGTAAGGAACCCTGATAGAAACACAATTCCAGTATTTTAACACCTTAACAACTAACGATGTCAAAGGCATTGTATGTTTTTTTGTTAATTAGAAACATTAGGCATGTTTGTTTCTAAAATTACCAACATTCAACCAGGAGAATATGAGGCATGGCTGGCAATCGATAAAATTAGACTGCTACTACTAGTTTCCAAATCTGGAAAAATAGCTTAATTTTTTACTGAGGGAGCTATTGTTTCAGTGATGTTATTGTATACAAAAGAAATGTTTTTCTCTACCCGCAAGCAGGGCTGTTCAGGGTGAAAAAACATGCTTAATAGAAATGCATTCTTACATTCCACTTTTTCACAGCTAGGAATGTTTCACCTGCTGAGTGGGAAAAAAGGTTTAAACAAATTAGATGCCGGCACTCCCAGCTTCATACAATTAACTTCTGGGACTCACCAGTTACCACCAAACACTATAGTTACGATCAAATCAAATAATAAGGTTACAAAGCATTTCCAATTTATAGTACAGATGGAACCTTAACCGTGTTCTATAAGGGTGTAAAGCTTGGACATATCCTAGTTAACACCTCATCAGGACACGTGAGCACAGGAACTAGCAGTGGGCCTAATGTCTGTTCAAGCATGTGGGTGCAGTTTAGCAGCACCAAATACTCATAGGGACTTATGTGCAAGTAATTCACATACCTGTTATCCATGGGGGATATTGATCATGGCATCTGGTAGTATGTTTAGAATTGGGGTGGGGGGGAGGGAGAGGGGAGTGGATGGGGAGGCAGCTGGCAATATGCCTGGTGCCTATGTGCAGCAGCTTGCCGTGTGACTTATGTCTATTAGAAAGGTTAAGGTGGTCTCTGACATGCACATTATGGGCCCTAAATGTACTAGTGAGTACTGCATTCACACATCCTGGTGGGCACTAGAAGCTGTCACTTAAGATGCATTTTGCTGTTTCAGTGGTTACCAAATCACTTGTATAATTTTTAAAGATTTGTTTTATTTTTTTCCAGAGTTTATCACCAAATTTTGGGAGAAGTGGAGGGCATGTCTGTATATGTCATTCCCAGGAATAGCTAAACCCCTGTGTTTTCCCATATTGACTAATCTTGCAGTACAAAGAAGGAATTTAGTAGAACACGCTTCATGAAATAACAGTAATCATGTTCCAGTGTTACTTCCTACTAACAAAATAGCAGGGCAAAGTCCAGATCCTGTGACTTCCTCTTACTCCCATATAGTTCACTCAATTCAAATACTTGGTTTTTTGGTTTTGTTTTTTTAAGGAAAATTAGTGTACGTGTGAAAAGAAGGAGTTGTTGTAAGAGCCCAGTTCAATTCTCTAGTTAAAAGTCTGTCCGTGTTTTTGCTGCTGACCTCTGTGTTTAAGTGGTTATAACTGGGCTCTAAAAGTCAGTCTGGGACGAAAGCTAGAATACAAAGACTTGCCCTGGAAAGACAATTGCACTACTTACTGTTTATAGCAGTATTGTACAGTATTAAAAATAAATAGTCTGGCTATTTTTGAATTATAGGATAGAACGCTCTTATAAATGTGTTGTGTTTTCAAATAAAAATCCATTAAATTCACTGCTGTGCGGAGAGCCACCATAAGGAAAAAGAAAGGCACTGTGTCTTAGTGGGTAGAGCAGTGGCCTGGGATTCAGGACCTTGATTCTATTCCTGGTTTGCCTGTGGGTAACCTGGGCAAGTCATTTCACCTCTAAGTGCCTCCGTTTCCCTATTTTTAAAATGGGGATAATGATACTTACCTCCTTTGTAAAGCGCTTTGAGTTCTACTATTGAAAAGTGTTATATAAGTCGTGGGTAGTATTGCCACTTGCATCCCATTTACAGGTGGTATTGCCAATCCCAGCTATTCAAAAATCTGTCCCCAAAATAATCTTGAGATTGGTTTAAAAATCATGAGACTGTAAAAAAGTAAATAAATTTTGGGTTCTTTTTAGGTACCTTCTCATTTCTGATCCTTTAAGGTATGCGTGTGCTTTACATTTTCAGGCTTTTTACATTATTTTTTCCTAAATGAAAGCTGAGATTCTCATATAATCTCCTGATTCCAGAAGCTGGGGCTTTAAAAAACACACCAAATATTGCACAACTCAAGATAAAGTTGAAAGAGCAGGCAATGCTGCATAACCCTTATGCTGCCCTCTGCACAGGGCTGAATTTCTTTTTAAGCAGACCTTTGCCATACTAAAAGAGGATTTGCCTGGGAAACGAACGTGCTGTCTTTTGGCCAATATCTTTTCACCTTCCTCATACAAAATGCCCTTTAGCCACAACAGAAATGTGGAGACTTGTATTTTTTTCCTACAGAGAGCAGTGGCAACTGTCAGGAAGACTGACAGCAAGGTGAAACCGCCTTCCTGTTCATCCCAAGTAGTTGAATCTTTTTTGCAGAGTAGAAGAGGAAGTCATGATCTCCTTGGAATGCTGCATTTAACTCCTGTCTGGTAGGTACCAATTGCTAAATTCCCAGAGGCTTAGTTCAACAGAACTTGATTCTAATGGAGTGAAGTTCATTATAAGCAGAGAGTAGCTTCACTATAAGAGTGAAAGTCCAGTGAAATATACTGACGAAATTAAGGACTTTAACTCCACTTTCATATAAGCAAATGCCCTACAAGTGGGCACATTACAAATGTTCCACATTACAGACATTTTAAAAAGGAAGCCAAAAACAATTTGCTGTGTTCAGATGCCTTTTTGTAGCTCAAACCCTAGCTTTGATTTCATACATTTCTGCCTTATTCTGAGATTTAAAAAAACAACAGGGAAGGGGGTTTCAAAGTACAGAAGACATTAAAAATCCAGCAGAGGCTTCCTGAGAAGGCATTTGATAGACAAAGTGGCGGGAAAGGGGAGAAGGGATGAGGTGGAGAGGAGAAGAAAGATAGAGACTGAGTGTGAAACAAAACGAACAGAGAGTAAGGAGCCAGGGATGGAGAATCAAACAGATGAGGAGACAGGAGAGGAGGAGAAACAGAAAGGCAAGGAAATGAGAGGATGGTAGGAGAAGGAAAGAAACACAATGAGGAAGAGAAAGAAGACAGAGGAGAGGATGAAAGTAGAAAGAGAAAACACAAATTATTATTATTTTATTATTTATGTTATAATAATGCCTAGAGACTCCTGCCAAGATCAGGGCCCCTATGTGCTAAGTGCTATACATACACATAGTGAGAAACAGTCCCTATCCCAAAGAGCTTACAGTTAGGAAACAGGGACACAAAGCAATTCAGCGGCAGAACTGGGAAGACAACCTGATAGAATGGATAGATTTCAAGCACTCATTTAAATCACTGATTTTAATCATGATTTAAATCAACAAGCAGGGAACCTGGATTTAAATCAATTATTTTTAGAGTGTTATGCATTTCTCATTTTTAGTTATTTTCCTAAAAAATAAAGGCTGATTCTCATTGGTTGGTAACTGTTAATACATGCTGATTTTCACAAAATATAGCCTTTACACTAAATGTGGTGCTTCTTTTTGCTAACCAGAAGGATACACTGTCTGTCCACATTTCTTTAAGCAAAGATATACCTTGACTTACATTTACTTATTTAGGGAGTGTCACTATATGTGAAAGAAAATGTAGAATCAAATGAAGTAAAAATCTTAAATGAATCCACATGTTCCATAGAATCTCTATGGATAGTAATTCCATGCTCTAATAAGAATATAACAGTAGGGATCTATTATTGACCACCTGACCAGGACAGTGATAGTGACGATGAAATGCTAAGGAAGATTAGAAAGGCTATCAAAATAAAGAACTCGATAATAGTGGGGGATTTCAGTTATCCCCATATTGACTGGGTACATGTCACCTCAGGACGAAATGCAGAGACAAAATTTCTCGATACTTTAAATCACTGTTTCTTGGAGCAGCTGGTACAGGAACCCACAAGGGGAGAGGAATTCTCGATTTAGTCTTGAGTGGAGCGCAGGATCTGGTCCAAGAGATAACTATAACAGGACCGCTTGGAAATAGTGACCATAATATAATAACATTTAACATTCCTGTGGTGGGAAGAACACCTCAACAGCCCAACACTGTGGCATTTAATTTCAGAAAGGGGAACTATGCAAAAATGAGGGGGTTAGTTAAACAGAAATTAAAAGGTACAGTGACTAGAGTGAAATCCCTGCAAGCTGCATGGATACTCTTCAAAGACACCATAATAGAGGCCCAACTTAAATGTATACCCCAAATTAAAAAACACAGTAAAAGAACTAAAAAAGAGCCACCGTGGCTTAACAACCATGTAAAAGAAGCAGTGAGAAATAAAAAGGCATCTTTTAAAAAGTGGAAGTCAAATCCTAGTGAGGTAAATAGAAAGGAGCATAAACACTACCAAATTAAGTGTAAAAATGTAATAAATGCCAAAAAGGAGTTTGAAAAACAGTTAGCCAAAAACTCCAAAGGTAATAACAAAATGTTTTTTAAGTACATCAGAAGCAGGAAGCCTGCTAAACAACCAGTGGGGCCCCTGGACAATCAAGATACAAAAGGAGCACTTAAAGATGATAAAGTCATTGTGGAGAAACTAAATGAATTCTTTGCTTCAGTCTTCACGGCCAAGAATGTTAGGGAGATTCCCAAACCTGAGCCATCCTTTGTAGGTGATAACTCTGAGGAATTGTCACAGATTGAAGTGTCACTAGAGGAGGTTTTGGAATTAATTGATAAACTTAACAGTAACAAGTCACCGGGACCAGATGGCATTCACCCAAGAGTTCTGAAAGAACTCAAATGTGAAATTGTGGAACTATTAACTATGGTTTGTAACCTGTCCTTTAAATCGGCTTCTGTACCCATTGACTGGAAGATAGCTAATGTAACGCCAATATTTAAAAAGAGCTCTAGAGGTGATCCCAGCAATTACAAACCGGTAAGTCTAATGTCAGTACCGGGCAAATTAGTTGAAACAATAGTAAAGAATAAAATTGTCAGACACATAGAAGAACATAACTTGTTGGGCAAAAATCAACATGGTTTCTGTAAAAGGGAAATCATGTCTTACTAATCTATTAGAGTTCTTTGAAGGGGTCAACAAACGTGGACAAGGGGGATCCAGTGGACATAGTATATTTAGATTTCCAGAAAGCCTTTGACAAGGTCCCTCATCAAAGGCTCTTACGTAAATTATGTTGTCATGGGATAAGAGGGAAGATCCTTTCATGGATTGAGAACTGGTTAAAAGACAGGGAACAAAGGGTAGGAATAAATGGTAAATTTTCAGAATGGAGAGGGGTAACTAGTGGTGTTCCCCAAGGGACAGTCCTAGGACCAATCCTATTCAACTTATTCATAAATGATCTGGAGAAAGGGGTAAACAGTGAGGTGGCAAAGTTTGCAGATGATACTAAACTGCTCAAGATAGTTGAGACCAAAGCAGACTGTGAAGAACTTCAAAAAGATCTCACAAAACTAAGTGATTGGGCAACAAAATGGCAAATGAAATGTAATGTGGATATATGTAAAGTAATGCACACTGGAAAAAATAACCCCAACTATACATACAATATGATGGGGGCTAATTTAGCTACAACTAATCAGGAAAGAGATCTTGGAGTCATCGTGGATAGTTCTCTGAAGATGTCCACACAGTGTGCAGTGGCAGTCAAAAAAGCAAACAGGATGTTAGGAATCATTAAAAAAGGGATAGAGAATAAGACGGAGAATATCTTATTGCCCTTATATAAATCCATGGTACACCCACATCTTGAAAACTGCATACAGATGTGGTCTTCTCATCTCAAAAAAGAGATACTGGCATTAGAAAAAGTTCAGAAAAGGGCAACTAAAATGATTAGGGGTTTGGAACGGGTCCCATATGAGGAGAGATTAAAGAGGCTAGGACTTTTCAGCTTGGAAAAGAGGAGACTAAGAGGGGATATGATAGAGGTATATAAAATCATGAGTGGTGTGGAGAAAGTGAATAAGAAAAAGTTATTTACTTGTTCCCATAATATAAGAACTAGGGGCCACCAAATGAAATTAATGGGCAACAGGTTTAAAACAAATAAAAGGACGTTCTTCTTCACACAGCACACAGTCAACCCGTGGAACTCCTTGCCTGAGGAGGTTGTGAAGGCTGGACTATGACAGGGTTTAAAAGAGAACTAGATAAATCCATGGAGGTTAAGTCCATTAATGGCTATTAGCCAGGACGGGTAAGGAATGGTGTCCCTAGCCTCTGTTTGTCAGAGGGTGGAGATTGATGGCAGGAGAGAGATCACTTGATCATTACCTGGAGCATGCGTCTGACGAAGTGGGCATTCACCCACAAAAGCTTATGCTCCAATACGTCTGTTAAGCTTAAAGATGCCACAGGACCCTCTGTTGCTTTTTACAGATCCAGACTAACACGGCTACCCCTCTGATACTTGATCATTACCTGTTAGGCTCACTCACTCTGAGGCACCTGGCATTGGCCACTGTCGGTAGACAGGATACTGGGCTGGCTGGACCTTTGGTCTGACCCAGTATTGCCGTTCTTATGTTCTTACTCAGATTCTTAATTTTTACATTTTTATTATGTTAGAAAATTTGTGTCAAGCACTACTTGTAAAAAAATTATCAAAACATATTTTGCATTTAAAACCTACTATTTTATTAAACAGAGGAAGTATTATCTATAGTTAGTAAATGGAAGTGATTGTTTTTGGTCACCACGTCCTTCAAGATTTTAGAATTAGTAGGTTTCATCCTCTCACACCTAGTTTTTATTCATAGATTGGAAGAGGAAAACAGGCCTTTCTGCTTTTTTCACTCCCCATTGGTTTCTTACTTCTGAACGAACTAGTAATTGAACTAAACTACTTGAATACACTGAAATGAAGAAAATGCTCTCTTTCTGAACCTGCAGAAGAGGCTTCCAGAGTTAGAGAGTGAAATTTCTCTTGAACACTATCAGAGAAGAAGTGAATGACCAGTATTGGTCTACTACATTCATGGTACAAAAATTCTTAGAAAATAGGAAATTATATCACTTCCCATCCCATTTCCAAGTAGATGTACAATGTAACTCCAAAACAAAGACTCTGTAAAGGTTTTTGTTAATACAGTATGGAGGCATCAGTAGAGACTCCCATAGTTAAGTTTGCATTGGTGAGCAGGGATGTAAGAGGAAGTGAGATTGGTGGAGGAGCTGGGGAAAAGTGATGGTTGAGTTTCAAGAGGCCAACTTGAGGAGAAGAGGAGAGAAGAGGAGCTCTACTTTGACTAACCATCTATTAGTTCTATTAGATAATCTGTGCTTCCCTGAGGGAGAATAAGTTTCCAAATGACATAAGGCTAGTTTTAGGCATTGACCATAGTGAGGGGCATTGCTGAGCTGCAGTACCCCAGGGGGAGCTCCAGAAGGCGGACATAGAGGCAGTGGAGTTGCTTGTACTACACAATGTTGTGGGGTGCAGACTACTGCCTTTTGTCCTGGCCAG